ACTTGGTGTAATGAGCTGATATAATCGCGCTAACATAATCCCTCAGAAAACCCTGTCCCATGCCACGTAAGGCTTTAGAGGTGATAACCAACACCTTGAATTGGACCCAGAAGCAAACTGGCACCCAATGCAGCTCCCACAGTGAAGATGTACCATGTGCCATCTTTGGGGCACCCAAAATTGCCCACACAGCTGCATTTTGAACCAGCTGTAGCTTCTGGATACTCTTCAAGGGTAGCTCCATGTAGAACGCATTGCAGTAGTCTATATGGGAGATGACTAGGGCACGAGTGACTGACAGGAGGGCCTCCCAATCCAGGAAAGGGCATAACTGTGTACAACATGTAGTTGAGTAAAGGCACAACATGTAGTTGAGCAAAGTTCTTAAACTAGCCATTCCAGAAAAAGTTGCACATTGAGATGCTTTTCATTTTCAGTTCTTTTAAATTTATTTACATTTATGTACTGTTGAATGGTTTGAAATACAGAGGTAATACAATCTGTGGTACAGAAATTATTTCAAGTTGAGAAAAACTATTTACGTAGAATTTTTACATGCTAAGATTTCATGTGTAATACAGTATTTAATAATCTTTAGAAAAATCCTTTTGTAGGACCAGTATGATTGTTTTATGTAAGAGGCTTGATATTTTTTAACAAAAAATAAAGTACATTTTATTTATTTTCTTCCTAGCTATGAATTTGTTGTGATAGCTAGCAACCCTCTTGGGGAAGGCCCAAGTAGTGAATCAAAGCCATTTAGAACTGAATCAGGTAAGAATCCCAATAACTGTGTCAATTAGACATAACTCTCTTTTAATTCTTTACAAATTTATAGAGGGGAAAAAAACAGATAAAGTTATAAATGTGTCTAGATCAAAAACTTATAGCAACTCAACAAACCTTCATATTAATATTTGTTTAAACTGGAATTGAAAATGAACAATTAACATTTCATTTATTAGTGCAAACCAAATTGGGTTGATGTAGAATTTCTTTAAGAAATAAAATACCAACACTTTACTAAAAATATGTTTAAAAATTCCATGAAGTGTTTATATTATAGCCAATTTAGTCTCATTTTGGGCTGACAAGAATCATTAGATAAATTATTTTTAAAATATTATCTTTCAGTTTTTTGAACTCAACTGTTGGATGTTCAGATGGAATTGGTCCTAATGTCAAACCACATCCTAATTCTAAAAGTTCATGCCAATTACATTTTTTTCTTTTAAAAAAAGTTTCTTTTACAATGTCTTTACTGTGTTTCTAAAATTCTAGGTAGAAGGTTTGGGGAAGTTTTTTTTGTTTTTGTTTGTTTCTTGGAGACTGATCTTATTACTTGTTTTCCCTTACTGTCTGCTTCTCTCTTCCCCTTTCTTTACAGCTGACCCAAGAGTGACAGAGTCTATTTCAAGTAAGTCCTCTCTACATATAGCATGCTTATGGGAGAATGTTTTTGAGATCAGATAATGTGCTGCTATATGAGAGAAAATGTTTAGAAGAGAAAGGCATTTTGTACATTTTTTCCAACCTATGCCATTTGCAAATCATTCCTGTCAATTAAATGTTTACCAGAGAATAGCCCAGACAAGGTGATGTGGTGCTTTAGTGGCTCAAATTCAGCAGGCATAAATGTACCAAATGCAGGCCATATTTTCTTAGTCCATGTCATTAAATTAAAAGACAAGTTTGTGAAATGAATAGGCTGCTTCTTATTTAATAAGTGGTTTAGCAAAACATTGTCAGCCTTCTGCCACTCATCCAGAAATACACCATCAGTTACACCTTGAGTTCTAAAAATGTTGAGCAGCCATGAAAAAATACTGCCATAAACCAGTTTTAGAGAAACAGAAATGCCTTATTTTGCCAAGCTAGAAACAATTCAAAACAGTCAAGAAGAGTAAATGTTTTCATTTATTTATAATAGTTTCATTTAATACAGGGTTTTTTTTTTAATAAAATCTTCCTTTGGAGTCCGTGGTGCTATCTGAGCTTGGTTGTTTGCTTGCAGACATTTCATTATCTGACTAGATAACATCATCAGTGCTTGTGAGTGTGAGGTTTACTCCCTATTTATATACAGTAGTTTACCCTGCCAGTGTTGGTGGGGGTGTGGTTTTCTCCTTGGTAGTTCCTTGATCAGGGCATTGTTTTCTGCTTGCTTCTTTATCTGGTGTTAATCCCTGTTTATCTGGCTGTTGGCTTCTCTCCAACTACCAATCAAGGAACTACCAAGGAGAAAACCACACCCTACCAATACTGGCAAGCTACTGTATACAAACAGGGAGAACCCCCCACATTTACTAGCACTGATGATGTTACTGCGTCAGGTAATGAAATGTCTGCCAGTAAACAACCAAGCTCAGAAAGCACCAAGGACTCCACAGTTCAACCCTGAGCTATAAGTATTCTCTTCTAGTAAAATCTTCCTTTCTTAGACATCTTATTGTGCTCATTGCAATATATTTCCAAGGCAATTTTTTTCTTTGTAACATCATTTTTATCTCAGTTTATAGTTTTCAGAAGGATAATTAAAATTATAATTTAATGAAACAATAAAAATATGTTTATAACATTACTTCACTTTTGCACCAATAGTTTGTGATTGAAAATTGTTGCAATTAATTTATTTCCCTATTGCTTATCTTAAATATGCCCCATCACCCAGAACCCATTAAGGTTTATGTTTACTCTCCATGTGCTCAGATATTTACAGGGCCATCTGTTCCTGTTGAATCTTCCAGTGCCCTCAAAGTTCCTGAGAAAAATATTTTTCTGGCTCAATGCATTTCAGTTAAAAACTTTTATTCAGGGCATTCAGAAATCTGAATGTCCATTGTCATAGCTCCTTTGATTTATTTTAACTGTGTCAATCCTTAAGATAGGTTAATTAAGGTTCTCCCCATTCTCATATCTTCTAAATAAAATGGTGGGTGGCTATTAAAGAACTGTTTCTGTTGTAGAAACCAAATTAAGCAATATTATTCTCATTATATATTTACCCAGCCACAATTTTGTTTTCCTTTAGATGCCAGGCAGTCTTATTATCTTACTTGTTCATTTATTGAATTTGGAATCGGCCTTTTTGACATAGTGTGTAAGGTAGTTAGCAATAAAGATATATAAAAATCATATGATGAACAATTACATGATTAACATAATAAAACAGAAATAATATGTAATGCTATAGAAGAGCTCTTAATAATCTTTTGTCCTCTATGATGTTACTTCATTTTTCCTACTTTTAACATTTTCCTTGTTATCTGTTATTTTTGCTGTTTTTTGTTTTGTTTTTGTACTTGTATTTACTGGGGTGTGGGTTTTATTTTGGCTTATGATAAGCAAGGGGAAAATACTGTATAATAATGCTAATATTCTTATACATTGTTTTTTCACTTAAATACAGTGTTTATGTCAGATATATATTTTGGCATATATTATAACCAAGATCTCATTTGTTATTTTCTTACAGTGGGAAGAGATGCAATTTGGACTGAAGTCAGTTTTAATTCTGATGATTATTCTGAATGCAAGGGAAAACAGTATGTCAAGAGGACTTGGTACAAGAAGTTTGTGGGTGTTCAATTGTGTAATTCCCTTCGATATAAAATTTACCTCAGTGATTCACTTACAGGTATAAAATCAAAACTCTTGACTATCAGCAACTAAGCATATAGGAAGGCTATTGATATGAGCTAGTACAGGACATTACTAGGTTCAATAATATGTGTACTCTGAAAATAAATTTCAGGCACAGCAACTTTGTAAAATTACACTGGGCATTTGTAAGCATGATTGACAATTCTTGGAAAGTTTATCCTATATGAGATCAAAAAGTCATTAACCATCACCAAGGCAGCTCCATCAATATACTGTTTTAGGTATGCAGGCAACATGAAACATCATGGATAATCCAGGTTCTCTTCTTTATACTGGCAAACATTGAGTTTCAGCATATGCTATTCTATCTCTCAACACCGGATTGTTGTGGGAATGGGCTATGGAAAAATATAACATGTTCTTTGTAGATCAGTGTGGCTATATAAACATATAACAGATCAATGTCATATGGGAGATTGATACTATCCAAACTCAAGACAAACTCCTGCATGCCTCAGTACTTAATGCTGCTTTCACTGAAAGTAAATGTCCATGTATTAGTCATCTTCCCTAGTTTAGCATAGTGTTTCTACTTGTGTAAACATGCCATTACTGATTCTATAAAGAGCAACCACTAGTGATCTCATTTATCAAATGTCCAACGTGAACATTTCAGCAAATAGCTGTTGCAAAAAGAAAAATGCAAAGTGATTTAAATTTTGCATGCTGCCTTCAATGGCTATGAAAAGGACTCTGAAAATTTAAACTACTGAGCTTCCATGACAATTGGAAAATGTAAACACTGGTACTATTTGGTATACCAAAGACCATAGAAAAGTTGCACACCCTTCTCCAAATTGCACTCTGCCTTTTAATGATTCTTCAGAAGGGCATGCACAATTTGGAGAGGAGTGGGTGCATCCTTCTTGTGAAGTTTTCCGAAGCATCTTGAGAAGGCAATACACAATTTGGAGAAGGGCACACATGGCCTTGGGAAGAAGTCGTGGCGTGGCCAGCAGTTGCCACACATAGGGCCAGGCAGGGTGCACCTTGTCAGCAGTGGGAGGAAGATGGCAAAAGTCAGCTGGGGGCGGCAGGACCTGCAGAGTGCAGGGCAGCAGGGGCTTTGTACTGTAGTGCTGGGGTGGCTGGCTGCGGCACAGGGCTTGAGGCAGCACTCCTCAGAGGTAGTGGCGGTCAGCTGAGACTGCTGAAGGCCCTGGGCAGCGACACCAGGACCGCAACTGCCATTGAGGAGTGCTGCTGTGCAGGGTAGCCAAAAGGGCAGAGGTGAGGGGAAATAGGTGGGAGGGGGAGTTGAAGCACCCCTGTGGTTGTAAGTGTGGGTGGGCTGCCAAGCACCCGAATTTTGATCACATCACCGCAGGGGCGCTGCAACAGCCATAACTTCGGGGTCTGGGCGTAAGTACCATTTGTTCAGCCCCATCATAACTATGAATGGTCACTGAATGAATGGTTGATAAGCAAGGTCTACCTGTAAAAGAATTAAGAGACAAACTTACAAATTCCTAAAACAGAACAGCTCTGTTCCAACCATATAATATGCATGCCCAGCAGCCAAGATGGAATGTACTTCATGGAATGTCATAAAATGTGTTTAGCAAAATATGTTTCACAATACAGGTAGTCCCTGGGTTAAGAACAACCCACAGTTAAGAACGGAGCCTATTGTAACAAAAGTTGAGTTAAATACACAATGATTTAAGTACACAATGGTTCAAGTTCATTACACAATACTACTTATACAGTATTATACAATAATATTGTTCCAGCTTACATACAAATTTGACTCAAGGACAAACCTTGGGAATGGAAGTCATTCTTAAACTGGGGACTACCACTGAGGAGTGCTTCCTCAAGCCCTGTGCCACAGCCAGCCACCCCAGCACCACAGTGCAAAGCCCCAGCTGCCCCCACCGCCCTGCACTCCGCAGGCCCTGCCACCCCCAGCTGACTTTCACAAGCCGGCTGCAACTTGTCAGCAGTGGGAAGAAGATGGCAAATGTCAGCTGGGGGTGGCAGAACCTGTGGAGTGCAGGGTAATGGGGGCTGGTGGGGCTTTGTACTGTGGCACAGGGCTTGAGGCAGCACTGCTGAGACTGCTGAAGGCCCCAGGCCTCTACTTCAGCCCCAGCACCACTGG